AATTATGATAATAAAAGTTTCAGTTTTTCTCTTTACTGGTAGGTTCTTTGCAAAATGTTTGTAATTTTTGGTAAAAGTACAAAATAATTCATATATTTTAATGATATAGAAGAAATTCTGTCATTTATATAGTGGCTGATCCATTTATAAATTTAATTCAACTTTTGATAGAAAAGAATTTATAATCCTAAATTTTTAGAATTAAGAAAATGAAAAAAATTTCTGAAAAATATTCATTTGCTTATTTTTCAAAAATATATGAAATTCTTGTGTTACATAGGTAAACCGTCATTATAGAGATGTTGGAATGCAGGACTGAGTGGAAAATAAATAGAATGACAAGTTTTGATAAGTAACAATAAAAATTATGAAATGCATATAAAAATTACTAAAAACATTAATTTATTTAAATTAACTTTGTTATCATGCCACAAATTGTTTGGACTAGTATCCATGATTTTATTGTTTTTAGTAAATATCACTTTATATTTTCTCTAACCTTTTTCTAGTGTATGTTTCATCTGATAATCTTTGAGTTTCAGCCAATATTTTTTGCCTGTCAAATTTTGTTACATCTTCACTTAGAACAATTCACAAATCTTAGCACTAAAAATTTGTGTTGTCACTATAAACTCTTCAGTTAGTTTGAAGAAGCACATTATATATTCAAAGAAACAACATGTATATTTATTAATTTTACAGTTCATCTTAATTTCAGTTGTTTTTTATTACAACTTCCCACGCCATCATTTTACAGCCATCAGCAAACAGAACAAATTGGAAAATGAATAATTTGATTTACTTTTCCTCAAAATCCTGTCTTACCATAGTGCATTGTGGCGGTGAAAAATACTAAACAAAGTATTAATAAATAGGAAAATTTCAATCGAAACAAAGAAAAGAGTACTGAATAGCTACATAATATCAGTCCTCCTATATAGCAGTGAATACTGGACAGTTTCCTCACAGACAAAGAAGAGACTTGAAGTAACAGAAATGTGGTTCTACAGAAGGATGCTGAGAATACCATAGACCAAACATCTGAGCAATGTCAAAGTTTTAGAGAAAATGGAAACAAAAAGAACACTTATACTTAACAGCAGAAAGAAGCAGTTCCCAGCTTAGCAGAAAGGTTTAAGGTGCAAGTAAATAATGGTTAGGAAGCTGTGGAGAGCTGTGATTGCAACGTCTTGAAGGGACAGGGCAAAAGAAGATATTTCTTGAATATTTGTGGTACATTGAAGTCACTATTTTTTCCCCTTCTGCTGCCTCAGATGTTGTACTTGATAACATTAAATGACCAACAGCTGCTAGATTTTAATCTTCGCATTTCCAGATAGGCTTTGTTCTTGATGAAACAAATGATTTTTTTCCACTGTTTTGAAGATTGAATAACCTTGGAACCTCGAAGAGCATTGAATGCTTCCTTTTCAAGCATTCTGCACATAAATGTTATAATCATGCAATCACAACGTGGAAGATGTGAAGTGAAGATGGCAGCTTCATGCATTAAAGACATGCGGCTTATTTTCCAAATATTTCAATCAAAAATCTGGGGCTAACAAAAAAAGAATGTCCCTTAATTAAAAGAACATAAACAGATAAATAATAAAAAAAAAACAGTCATTGTCCTTTTTCAGCTCTATGAATCTTGAAGTAGATTATGAAGTAAAGAAAAGGCTTGTTTAAAAAAGGGAAAAAAAATTCCATCTTAAAAAGCAACCTAACCTAAAGAAGGAATTATTCTTCTATGTGCAATAGCCTTTCAGGACATAGACGATCATGGCTCTCCACAACAGCCTATCTTTTGTAGTGCTTAGTAAGGTTTGTCTTTTCACCATCCCTCCAAGTCTCTGTTCTGGCATCCATTTACACAATTTCGTTAGTGATATGTCTCAGAAAGGGATATATTTGTTCGAAGTAGCAAAGTGGTTTTGGACTACTGTAACCAGGTAGGAAAATCTAGCAGGTAACCATAATGGACTGGTCCTTGTTGTAGTGGTAGCCAATAGGCATCCTCACTGTATGTCCACATCAGTCTGTATTTATGGCTGACACCAGCCAGTCATATTTCTGTGAGGGGGAACCCAGGTGTATGCATATTCATTACATCAGTTAGGTAGATTACTTGCTGTTTCCCTCTGCTCAATATGTTCTGTGTGTGTCAAATTCTGGTCCCTCTTTCCTCATTATGTATCCCAGAAATTTCAACTCTCTTTGATTCAAGTATAAATCTCTTTTTTGTTTCCATTTTCTTTAAAACTTCCTTGTTAATCACATGTTCAGTTCATGGTATTCTGAGTATTCTTCTGTAGAACTACAGCATCTTTCTCTATTCCAATGCACCTTTGGATTTCAGGGTCATATTTTCCATCTCTGTTAAAACACTTCATAGATATTTAAGTTTTTTTTTAATTTGCTTAATTTTGTTGTTTGCATCTTAGGTTGTTCCTCTTGCTGACAACCATACACTGTGTCTTCTAACAATTGATGTTTAGTCCTTTCTTCTAACTTTCCTTAATTACCTTCTCTAGGAGTTCCTCTAGTTTCCTTTTGTGTCTGCTATCAACACTGTGAACTGCATATCTTATATTATTAAGATGTGAAAACCATCTTCTGTATATTTAAATTATTGAACCTAAAAGATATCTAATCTGAATACAGTATTATAACAACATAAATTGTTTATGTACTATCAACACTAATAAAAAAAAAAAAAGAAATAGATGAAAAGGTATTTGTCGTTCATCTGATTTATTCAAACAAAGGAAATTAATTGCATTTTTTGTATTTTCAAATAAAATAGCAGCAGTCACTACAACAAAGGTATTAGCACAGGATAACCCTGGAGCCAGGCATCAGCAAAAACATTAACTCAGACCTCTCCAGCAATATCACAAAATATTACAAGGCTTTGTTTGTTTTCCATCATAGTGTAAGAGTGAAACCTTCATATATACAAGACAGACACAAAACACCTGAGTAAAAATTCTACATATTGTATTAGTTATTTTTTTCAAAAATTAATTAAAAACACACAGCCAATGTTTGGATATGATAATCAAGACAATATATAGATTGATAAAGTAAGTTTTATCCAGGTATTTTCCCTTTATTATAATGATATATCTAAATTGATTAAAATGGATAGGTAGACAAAATTTGTTCTTGCATACACCTCTCCTCTAATCATTGATCAAGAAATTAACAAGTAAACATTATCTCAAGTCACATATGCTGTAAGGGATCAATATTTAATAAACAAAAATTCTGGTTATTTTTTAACATTCTGATATGCATTCATTTTCTCCCATGGCTGATATGAATAAATAACAGCATGTAAAGAATGCTTTATTTGGTACATTTCATCAAGAATGTTTTTTTAGAGTAACCATTATTCTTTTTAGATGCAAATATTGTATCCTAGCCATATAGCATTCATTTTTGTCTGAATTTCTGGAATGAAGAGTTACTTACATGTGAACTAATATCCTTATCTTTGTATTTCTGATCACAATGCTTCAACCATTATACACTCCTATATGGTACTTATTTCTATGTTAGGCTATGAAAGTCTGCTCAGTAGACCTAGCATAGAAACAGATACCATATGGGAGCCATTATAAACAACAACAAAAAAATACAGCAGCAAGGTTTTAGCAGCAGCAGTAAAAAAAGAGAAATGGAGATGATGGATATTAAGTATGGCGGCAGCAGCAAGCAGGGAAGAAGGACATTTGAATTAAGGATTGAAGTTCTAGTTTAGAGGATTTGATGACACAGCAATTGTGATTTCAATCTACTACCAGGGTAGTGCAAACTTAAACTCAGTAGAAACAGTAGAAGCAATAACTGTGCAGTACATATATACAAATTATTCCTGAACAAGAACAGAAGAATAAGAATAATCTACTTCATATATCAATTATTATAAAAGTGAACATTAAAGTCAACACTCAGGCAACAGGCTGTTTCATGCTAGATGCTGTTGTCACATCTAGCATGAAACAGCCTGTCACCTCTGAGTGTTGTCTTCAATGTTCACTTTTATATTTACATATGCTCTATCTCTGATATTGAGCACTTTATCCCATAAATATAGCACACCTTAAAACTATATTCCTTCATATATCAATTATTATATATATAAAGGTTTCAATTTGAAATTCTTTGAAGGTTACCCAAATGACCAGAATGTTGTGATTGTAACAATGATGAGGATATTAGTCTAAATGCAAATAGTATAAATAACAAAAAGCATTAAGTTTTCAAACTCATCTCAGTGACTATTAATAGTGAGTTCAGTTTTTAGTTCAAGTTCTACTACTGCAACTATTTGCAAGACAAATGTAGTAAATATTTGTATATTTACTATTCATATTAGTTGCTTTGAGCATATGCTGTGAAATGTATTAGTTAAATATTTTGTTTACATTTTAATAAGATTTACATCAAAGATAAATATGCTGTTTAACATTTCAGTCTTTTCTATGCAATACTTTTCAAGTGGAGTATTTTGGCAAATATAATTTGGCAAAATACCACAAAACATGGTAAGTATTTATACTTTTTGCTAGCCATCATCTCTAAAGGACAAATAATCTATATAGCCAGATCAATAAATGAATGAGTGAGAAGAGATCAAAGAATTTGTTGGTTGTCAACAGTTTTGAGTGAGAGTGGAATCACTGACTTCTATCAAGAGACCAGTTCTAAGAGAAATTCTTGTCACTGCACAGAATTTATTCTACAGATCAATATTATGATGCAAGGAATTATTCTTCTGAGGATGAAGGAAGGCATTTGGCTTGTGAGTCACATTTATCTTGTGCTTAAAATCTTAAAAAAGGATTTTTTGATTGAGAGTAAAAAAACAAAAAACAAAAAAAAAACAAAGATGAGAAAGACAGGCAATAGGATGGAGAGAAAATAAGAGAGGGGAAACAGAAGAGAGAGAGAGAGTGTTAAGAGTGAGAAGTGAGAGAAAAGTGACAAAAAACAGATGGGGGGAGAGAGAGAGAGAGAGAGAGAGATAATAAAAAGGCAAGAAAAAAGAGTAAATGAGAAAAGGAAGATTAGGAAAAAAACAAGAGGGAGGGGAAAAAAAGGAAAGTGTTAGAAAATGCTACCAGAAAGCTGAATGAAATGAGAGAAAAGGAAGAAAGAGAGTGAAAAAGAACCCAAAGCCATCGTAAACATGGTGAAAAGATGGAAGGAAATAGGACAAATAAAAAAAAAGGACAAAAACTGAAAGATGTTCCCCCAAATTTAATTCTGGTTCAGAATTATAGAAATGTATCTATAGCATATTTAAATTCTATTCATGACATTACGTATGAGAATCTGCAAGTAAATACTTTCTTCAAAACATAAATAAGCAATTGAAACTGTTCAATCTACTAGACTTTTTTTATGTAGCATTGTTTTCGACTTACTGTGTAGATATTAATACAGACAGCAAACCAAAAGATTTATAATTAAAAAAACAAATTAAGATGAATTATAAATGGCAACATTTATTGAAAAATTTAAGTTATATCCTATATCACATGGAAACAGACATACTTAAAATATGGTAACATATTCAATGATTCTTTTAAACTAGAATTGTCAAATGAGGCCTGAAAGAATTAATGAATGGTAATAGAACTTCACAAATCTAGACAGAAATATAAATAATATAATCTTCAACATTGTGGCAGAATGAATAATCATTTGTTCTTTTGACTGAATTGAATTTAATATTTAAGGCTGTTTTCAGTTCTTATAACTGTTCTTAGTCCCATCCAACAATTTGATTTGTTTCTCTAGAAATATACAAGATCTCAATTTCTATATTTAAAATCTGTACATGGTCTCACCTTTTGATGCAAAGCTTTTCTGATCTGCATAACATTCAAGTTGTTATTTACTGCTTCACTTGATGTAACATCCTCTAAAACTGGAAGTTTATTTATCAAGACAGAAGGCACATGAGAATTTTGTCCAAATACTAACTGCTTTAATCTATAACTATTTACATTAGGCAAAGTATGATTGGAGCTCAGTGACCAAGTAATGGCAAGTTCCAAGTTGCAACCAGTGTCTTCCATAGTTTTGAGTCCCATTTCATTAAGTATATCATTGTGGCGCTCATTTAAACCATTACTCCATGTATTTGGCACTGGTGTAATTTGTGAAATAATATTTTTGTTAGCCAAGGAATAAGAGTTCAATCCTTGGGAACATAATTAACAGCTCTTTCCCTTTTCTCTTTTAATGTAGACAATAGTAGCAGCTTATTTATCACTGTTTCCAGGTCAATATATATTTTTTATGGAAGAGAGATTCTGGGCTCACATACAAGATCCAGAATCTCTCCTCTATTCAAAAATTCAACAAATGTCAACATGAGAGAAAACTATGTGATTAAATGAAAATTATAATATATTTCACATATTTTTTTTAATCAAACAGTCAAAGAAAACAATTACCTTTCTTTAAATGTCATGTCAGGACAGAGATGATCATGGCTCTCCCTACATTCTTTTCTTTATTATCTATCAGTTGCTATGATTACTTAGGAAACATAATGGAACAATTTTCTGTTGCCTTCTCTATGATTCTGAATTCAATTTTCTGACAGTCACCCAAGGCTAGAGAACTCAGTCTACTTGTTATTTAACACATAATTGGGGAGAGAAGAGCATCAGTATGAAGTGAATGCAACAAACTCAACCAGAACTTGAACTTCACTTTCCATTCATGTGCTATGTTCACATCCAAAGGAACAAAAAGCTGTTGCAACCACAATTGCACTTTTATGTAAATTTTCTTATATCATTCTGCTGCTTGGCACTCCACAAAAGTGCAGGTGAAATATTTCTTAATTTCAAGAAAATTTTAATGCTGAAAAGTGTTATTTGAAATTCCAAATATAAAAAAAAAACTTTACTAATAGTACAACCTAACTTGTAACAAAAATCTGATATGCTCTCTCTCTCTCTCTCTATATATATATATATATATATATAACAGAAATAAAAGTGTGAAGCTTAACATTAATAGACATATTAAAAATGTTTTTTCCCCCTTTTCCTTCTCATTGCACATTTTCTAGTGTTTTAATTTAAGTTAAATCTCCCATGGAGGACCGATAAGTGGGAGTGAAATTCATTGCTTCGTTTTTAATATGTCTAGTAATATTAAGCTTCACATTTTTATTTCTGTTATTAAATTTTGTACCTACAAAAATATTTTCAAATATATATATATATATATATATATATATATATATTAATCATTTCACTCCAAGGAAGGCAATAAAGTCACAAGGGGTTATTGAGTCTGAGAGAATATGAGGAAAAAAACTTAAGGAGAGAGAACAATAAAAGAACAGGAATTAAGACAGAAAATATTGATTGACATTACATTTAAATTTTTGAAGATCAAAGTTTAGTGGAAAGCAAGAAGATAGAAGGGAGTTTTAAATGTGAGAGAAAAAACTGTTAGGAAACTGACAGTTACATCTAGCCATTTCAACTATATATGTATATATATATATTTATAAAAAAAAATAATCCCAAACATGAGAGAGAGAGAGAGAGAGGGAAGCAAAAGTCATTTAAAAATAATCAAATTCAATCCACTTCCATCTTGTATTTATCAAAATGCAAAGGAAAGATTTAATAAGGAGGTATATTCAAAATTCAGTTTTCAGTAACTCAAATTTTCTGGAAGCTGAAAATTTTGCATATTAATTAATTTAATATTTGAATCAACATTCTAAATATAAGTGATATGCAAATGATCAGAGGTGTGAAAAAATTAAGAACCTTAATATTCTTAATTTGGTTTTGATGAGATTTCAGAATCTAGAAAAATTTGCTCAAGGAATTGATTGTTAACAATAGCGGCAACCCAACCCAAGATATGAGCTATGAATCAGAAACATCAAAATCAAGACATATAGAAATTTAATTGTCTAAGAAGTGTTTTAATAGAAGAGAGAAAATGTGACAGAAATTTGAAGGGATATTGGAGAAGTGAAAGATGCATTCCAAAAGCCGAACAAAATATTAAGAAACAGGAAAATTCCATGAGAAACAAAGGAAAAGTGCTGAACTGCTGTGTAATATCAATTCTCTTATATTGTCAGGAATGCTGGACAATCTCCTGACAGATGAAGAGACTTGAGACAATAGAGATTTGGCTCTGCAGAAGGATGCTGAGAATATCATGGTTGGAACATCTTAGCAATGAGTAAGTTTTTAGAAAACTGGAAGCAAAAAGAAGACTTAGAATCAGGAAGAGATTGTTTTTTGGGACACAATGTGGAAAGGTGGTGTGTAGAATTTGACACTCACAGGGCATGTTAAAGGCAAGAGAAGCAGAGGAAACAGTGAGTAACCTATCTAACAAGCTTGTACCAGAATGGGGACTAGGAATGATATTAAGGGGACAAACATTGCTTAGAGCTACAAAGGATAAGAAATTGTGGAGAGTCATTCGATGTGACATGGTACATAAGAGAAGAATTAGGGTTTACAAGTGAAACCAATATGAAAAAAAAAAAAATGTTAAATCAGCATTTTTCCAAATGCAAACAAATTTCTTAAAGAAAATTACTGCAAAATTAAATTTATTTATAATAATATTTTTTTTTCTTACTTTCTCTATCTGAAATAAAACCTTATTAGTTCTGCTTTTGACTGATCCCACTTCTCAAGGATTGACAATAGGTGTAACAGCTTTTTTACTATTATACTGCTGGTTGGAAAGATAGTTATGGGTAGAGGTATTTGTTCAAGTGCTCCTTCACACATTTTATTTTTCATCAATATTCAAGTGACACAACGTTTCTTGTTGAGATCTCTCATGATGGAACAATGCAGGGGTGTGGAATCATACTTTTTCCAAAGCTATTAATACTCAGAAAATACTGCTGGTTCAATATTCTATACTGATAGCTATAACACTACCTCATCGAGTTAATAGAAACACTTACCGCAGAGAAAGCAGAGAAATTAGAGTTTAAATTTTCTTTATTTTCACAACACAAGATATTTTTGTAAGTATCTAGCAAGGAAAGAGTGTAAAACCAATGGTTTGTTTAACCAAAAATTATTACTTTCTCTTTTTATGTGCCATGCCCTTTCTGGATATAGGCAATCATGGCTCTCTCCAGCTTCCTATCCTTTGTAGCTATAAGCAATATTATTATCCCTTCCAGTCCCTGTTTTGTCATCCATTTACACATGCATGTTAAAGTAGATTGCTTGCTATTTCCCCCCAAGCTTTCAATATATCTTGTGAGTGTTAAATGCTCAAAGCCCTCTTTCCTCATTATGTGTCAGAAACTTCAACTGTCCTTTTCTGGTTCTAAGCATTTATCCTTTTCACTCCCTTTTTTCTTAAAACTTTCTTGCTCACATGTTTCATTTATGGTATTCTCAGTATCCTTCTGTAGAACAACAGCTATTGTCTCAGTTCTCTTCTGCATCTGCAAGGAAATGGTCCAGCATTCATAACCAAAGAGGAGAATTGATATAAAATAGAAGTTCAGACTCTTTGTTTTTAATAAGATTTTCCTCTCTCTTAATACTTTGTTTAGCTTTTGGAAGGCATATTTCACTATTCCAATATGACTTTGAATTTCTGTGCTACATTTTCCATTGTCTGTTAAAACTTCCTAATTATTTAAATTTCTGTACTTTATTGCTTTTTGATGTCTTCAATTTGTAGTTTGCATCTTGAACTGTACCTCCAATGACTATACATTTTATCTTCTTACAAATAATAGTTAGTCTGTTCTTCTTGCTTTTCTTTAATACCTTGTCTAAGTGTCCCTGTAGTTTTGACTAACCATGACTTTTGCTAACCATATTGTTGACACACATAGTGTCAACAATATGGTTAGCATCTGTGTATCTTATGTTGTTATGATTGTGCCCACCAATAATAAATCCTGGTAGGACTTCTAGGATTGCCTCACTATATGTTAAATAAATCCCATGAGAAGATGTGTACATGTTTTATACCTCTTCCTATTTTTGTATACTTGCTAATTTGATGAAATTAGGATGATGAAATCTGCTGTAAAATATTAAGATAGCAGACTGACCAACTATCTTAAGATAGCCATAA